ACCATGGCCATCAACGTTATTCGCGCCACACGCCGTTTCCTGTCCGCGGGCGCTGTACGGCACAGCAAGCGATCGCTTGCGTTGTGCAACCCCGCGATAAGGCCTTCCACTTCATCCGACCTCTTACCTTGGAGTTCTATATTGAATTACCCGATTCGTCGATATTAACCCACATTCCTCGGTACAGGAGCAGGGATGGCGCAAGGAACAAGCCGTCTAGCTCCCGCCTGCAGCGCCGACCTGCAAGTCTGATTCGTCGTCACACCTCACAAGCTGTGTGATCGCGCAGCATGCGCGTGCCACTCAGCGCCTGCGATGGCTCTTTCGCCCCTCAGCTCCCTCACTGGCGTCGGCTAAGATGGGGGCTTACATGGCTGTTAAGAGCGTGAAAGGCCCCGGAGCGCTGGATGCTGATGCTTTTCTTGTACGTCCGGACCTCGAGCACGAACAACGACTGTGTGCGACCATCGGAGGCTTTTGGTAGCATCTCCAGCTATCGACTTTCGGTTAACGACAATTGCGCAACAAGACTGGACGGCGCATTCCAGCCTTATCCCGCAATCGCGATTCGTCCGAGCGCAGCTGAAAGCGCAGCATCACGTATACGGCAACGCCCACCACCGCACATCACCGTCGAGCGTGACGGCTTCGAACGCCCGTCATGGGTTTTTTCATATCGCGAACATGGCGCCTGCCGAAAATCATCTACTTTCTCATGATTTTTGAACTGCCATTCACCGTGGCCAATCTTGCCCTTTTCGGTATCGCATCGCCAAACCTCTATCGCACCATTTTGTGGAGAGTGGGAGGCGAGTTCGGCTTCAACTCGAAGCCGAGCACCGTTTTGTACGCGGCTGCGAATTACCGGCCAGTAGATACACCTCTAGTATGGAGTAGCTTGTAAGTAACATACCGAATCAACACTACAATCCATATCCTTGATATCATTCCACTCCACTTCAAACCTGAATAGTGTACTGATAATCACAGCAACACCCAATACCACCTCGTAATCGGCGTAGTATGCATGTTCTTCTGGCTCGTCAAAACGACCTTGTGGCTCCTCAAGGTCTTCTTCCCAATCCTCTCGCTCCTCCTCCACATCGCGCTCATGGCCCTATGGGCATACGGCATTCACATCCAAACCGCGCCCGACACCATTGACCCAGAGCACGTAAACAATGGCGCACCCTGGTATCTCACCAAGAATTGCAATATCGTGGACGACAAGCACATCAAGAGTTACTGCATGCAAGCCAAAAGCAGTTTCGCCGTTAGCATTATCATGCTGTACGTCCCCTACCACCCGTACCCATCCGAGTAAAACGCTAACTCTACCCCAACAGCACCATCTACGTCGTCTTCTTCGCCCTATCAGCCTACTCCCTCATCCCAACCACCGCCCAGAAACAAGCCCACGCCGCCCGCAGAGCCGAGAAGAAAGCCGAGAAAGAGAAGTGGGCCTCATCGCCCTACGACAACGAGATGACTGCCGACGAACAATGGCAGCACATGTGGGAACTCCAACAACTACCCCGTACACCCGGTACCGTTGGCGGCATGAAGTCGCCCATGACACCACGCACACAAGCTTTCAACAACCTTGGCGGCGAGGAGGCTGCACACGGAGGAGGAGGTTACTACAGCAATGTGCCTGCGGGAGGGAACGGCTGGTATGGGCCACCGCAGCACCAGCCAGGCTCTATAACCATCAGTCCGGTTATGGAGCAAGACGAATACTACTCGCCACATGAGGGCAAGGGGAAGACACCGGGTTGGGGTGGTAATGCGTACTAAGCACTTAACGCTTATCGACGTGCAATCATCTTCTTTTCTTGTCTGGGTTTGGCGTTTGAGCGTGGTTGTATGTTTTTTTTTCGATGATACCAAATCTGGGAACTAGGCTTTTCACTCATTATGAGGTGTGAGGTGGAAACGGATAGTCTATCCATTTCAATATGTAACGTTACGTTTTCTGTGACACTGGAGTTGATGGCTGTGTTGAGTATTTTGGACAGGCTTGTCTGTGTGTGATGAACACATGTTGCTAGTAGATGTCCTTTCGTAGGCTTGTGGGTTCCTGGAGAAGCAACATTGCAACACTGAACTACCGCTTTCAACTAAAAGAAAAAAACGATTAGCAATCGCATATGATTCATATGACGAACGCACAGCAAGATAAGTGCTCTTGTGGGTTCCTGCCGCGGGTGGTGACACGAGACAAACGTGCAGGATACGACCCCGCTTCCTGCATGCACACCATGGGCTCGATAACGAATGGGTTCGTACTTTCAGATAGCTCTAGGCAACAGCTCTGGAGTTAAAACTATGTACCCGTCTTCTTTCAAATGCTTTACGACATAACCCGTATCGTTCGGGCCCTGCCAAGATGTTATGCACCAATTGTTCAGACATCGATCTCATTGCGATCTTGCAAGGCCATCACGAAGGCATACCGCTCAGGAAGGGACACGAAGTGTGGGTCACACGATGTTCTGACCCTACTACTATCTGGACATGGGACTCGCAGTCTGGCTGCGAGTTCTGTGAGTTCATTTCGGCGACAAAGGTCAACTTATTACCGCGAAACGATCTGCTGCAACCACGCTATCTCCAACTTGACCGCGGAAAAAGCCTGATGAGGGTATCCACGAAGTCTGGACCTGTAACGAAGCTGTCGTCTCATGTCAATATATTCTATGACTTTGAAGACGGAAAGCCTGAATATCAAGTTGCTAGCCATCCTGGCTTGATAGTTCCTTTCGGCGTGTCCGCGGAGATCGAGACACCAGAACTTCAACCGTCTCCGCTACGAGTAAATGAAGTTCCGACCTTGCTTGACTTTAGCGCTACGAGACGACAACTACAGAACTGTCTGACTCATCATACTTCCTGCAATCAACAGATAGAAACATTCAGTAGCCGGCCAAGCCGGCTTAGGGTGATCGATTGTCACACACGAGCAATCGTAAGACCTTCTGGCAATATCCCGTATGCTGCGTTGAGTTATCGGTGGGGCAAAAGCAATAGCGGGTCTCTGGACCAGCAAACAGACATGCTTCCAGCAAGACTCCCTTCAACGGTAGAGGATGCTATTCGAGTAACCCAGAGTCTCGGCATTCGTTATCTTTGGATCGACGCATACTGCGTTCTCCAGAAGAATGAAGACGATTTCAAGCACCAGATTCGCCAAATGCACCTCATCTACCGCTCTGCTCAAATCACGATAATAGCAGCCGGTGATGCGGACGCCAGTTCAGGACTGTTGGGCGTTTCGGTACCGCGGGATAATGTGCAAACAAAAGGTCAATACAACGACCTCAATCTGGTTACATTCTCGCCCTGGCCTTGGGCCTTGATATACTACACAGAAGGATGGTTCCGACGTGGCTGGACGCTTCAGGAAGGCTACTTTTCAAGGCGGAGGCTCATCTTCACTGAGAAACAAGTTCTATTCGACTGCGATGAAGGCGTCATTAGCGAGGACCTACAGCATTCTCAGATACGTTATCATTCCGAGTTAGAGAAGTGGCAGCCAAACGTAGACGGAGAGACGATCTACGATTTGATTGAGTCGTACACTGAGAGAGTCCTCACCTATGATATTGACATCCTCAATGCATTTGATGGCATCTTGGGCGAGTTCGAACAACAAGAGCCACCTATCAGATCATACTGGGGTATGCCTTTGCCTTTCGATACATCCGGGTATCTCAATGGGCTTCTCATTGGATTGTGTTGGCGCCACGATATCCAGGATGAGAAAGTCAATCGTCGTTTAGGCTTCCCAAGTTATTCTTGGGCAGGATGGCTGCACAATCCGGATGCAGTATATCCTATACGAAAAACACCGAACACGACCCTGGTGGTTGCAAAGAACCTGGCGATTCTTCTTGAGAAGCAGGATGGGCTTCTGCAGTCTTTGGGAGACTTTGAGAAGGCCAGTCCGAATTCTTCCCAGCGGCACCACTATTCTCAGCGGATACATATCTCAGCACCATCGTTCAAGATCATGCTACGCAAGAGACCCGTTGTTGGAAGGCATCTTGGTCGCGTAGTACATGGTCACGATGCATCGGTGGTTCGAGGTGGACACGACCTCTGCTGGTCCGAAATGGCGCGACTCGACATCCCATTCGAGTGCCTTGAATATTCGCATATCGGTCCTGAGGCAGCTGAGATCAGAACTTGCTACGCTATATATTTATTTCGCGCTTACGAAATGAAAGATCGGTACAATGAGCCCATGGACACAGTTTTCGCGTTCCTCCTAGTACACAAAGTAGGGTGGGATTGGGAGCGAGTCGGTCTATGGTTACAACCATTCGAGGCTGAGGCAGGTGCTGAAGATCCTCCAGTGATCACTTACATGTTTGTACCATGGCTCTCAAGCTCTTTTTCTTACAAGACAAGGGATTTTTGGATTACGTGAGCTGTGGATTAGTATTCGAAGCAAACTACATCAAATGGCTGGGAAATTTTGGTCAATATCTCTTTGAGAAGATGTTGGAACGGACCAAAGATCTTCAAGCGTGATTTGAACATCGTACGGTTAACTTGATAGATGGTTTTTTGTGTAAGAGATTTCTATCTTCAGTCCATACTCATGGTTTGGAGAAAATCTAAGTACGGCTTTTATGTCACTCCGTACCTACACAAGACGCCGATCTTCCAACTCAAGACTTGCGGCATGATGCATACCACACTCGCTCCCACACTCATTCCCATGCTCGTGCGAAGCCGCTACCCTACCATGATTCTCACCTCTCTCGGTGCAAAAGTCCGCAGAAAGCTCAATCGTAGACTCGGTATCGGGACAGGTAGACGTCAATGTCCGGCTACCTCCCCTCTTAGGAGCACTACCAAAGGTCGGTGCGGAGTTTGGATTGCCGTAATTACTGGGGCCAATGGATCTTTTGTTTGTTAGGAGATGGGTGAATATACCGCCGCAGGAGCGCAGGGCGGGTCGGAGGAGAGGGAGGGACGCTAGACGGTGAATGTCAGCGACCTGGTTCGAGGAAAAGCTTCAGCATAGATGACTGACTTGCAAAGGATGCCAGGTTCACATCGCATACTGCCCATATCTGGTCGTCGATGCCGTCGTATGTGAGATCTGGATGGGGGTTTCTGCCAAGGGCGACCGTATGAGCAATGGTACCGAGTGCTGAACCGCAGACCCTTCGAATATATTAGTGAAATGTTAACGCGTTCACTATTTGCGACTTACAACAGGCCAGCCGCGAACATTGCCGCTACAGCAACCTTGCGTGCTGTCGAGATATGCAGTCTGGATATCTCATAGAGCGGACAGAGTAATATCGCGACCTCAAGAATGAAATGAGGTATGGCCGCGGCAAAGAGCGACATCATCGGCGGCAATGTGCACTTGCCAGGAATGTCTTTGTACCAGAACTTCTGAATCGGCTGGCATTGCATCGTGATGAGGACAACCTTGTGAGGTCAGCGTACCGTACTCAGAAGTCGATATAGGTCGTTGACTTACCCTGACAATGATCCAGCATGCCGAGCAGACGAACAGGATTCTGATAGGCTGTCGGATGACGGAAAGACCAAATGTTCTCCAGTAGAAGCCTAGTATGACGAACTTGGATAGCCCGACGGAAAACGTGTAGAACCACATATCTACCCATAGTTCTAGGAAATAATGGTATACGATCTCGTCTTCTGCCATGTCGATGTGGTGAAGTGGTCTTCCGAGTCCCCATCGCATCTCTGGTCGCCGTCAGCGCTTAGTTGTTAAGACCGCAGGATAGTACGTACTGTATATGCTGATGAAAGTGAAAGCACTTCCAGTGGACTGTACAACTGTAAGTCTTGTATCGATACAAAGTCGAGTACACATACAAACGCAACTGCGGCCAAAACATCTTCCCATACCAACGGATGGCTGGTCTGACGGCGTGCAACCAACCGAAAGACAAGCGCGACTGCAGCGGCAGTATAAGTTATAAGCGCCGCTGCGTAGAGTTCAGGTTGTCGGTTGTGCCCCATGGCGGGCCACAAAATGTGTCGCAAAAGGATAACACAGATTATCAACGATTGATATCTAGGTATATGAGACAACGCTCGTTTGTACACTAGCGATGAACCTTGCTCTTTTGGGACTAGCGTGGTGTTATACTGAGAATGTTTGGTTTTAGAATGAATGAAACAAGACACTGCATGCGAAGCTGATTCAGAGAATTAGATCGTATTAAGATGGCGCGATGAATGACGGTTCTGCGGACGTAGCGCTTCTCGCATCTCATAGCTGATGCTGGTAACAGTCGTGCAAGGCAGGACAGCCCTTACTCAAATCACAGCCGCAGCGGCCACCTGGGCGGTCGGTTGGTGACTGATAAGCGCAACGCACTCGATAGGATGCATCTACTCCAGAGATCGCGAGGCTGCACGATGTTATGGCTTGGACTGATGTGGATCTTGCCGGGTTCAGGTCATTTTGCAGGATCCCCAACTGCATCTTCAGGTGATCTTAAGGTGAGCTATGATGCAAGGCTCGTGTTTGCCGGCAGGCGAACACTTGGGGTTCAGCCAGGATGTTTCGCAGCTCGAACATCTATTTGTTCAGCACGGTCTTACTACGTAGACCCTAGGGACTGATGTCTGAGCACTGGTGATCATTGTGGTCTCTGCTCCGCAGGCGGGCAGTTATGTTGATCGATAGACTTGAGATAGCATGCAGGCCGTGTTCGGTGGTATTGCTGCAACTTCTTCTGCATTCTGGTAGACTGTCGTGGGGTTCTCTGCGTGTAAATTATTATGCTGGTGCCAGTGGTGGTTGTGTGCGCATCACCACACAAAAGCCCTCTCCGTCGTGTATTCGTAAACGCGGGATGAGTGCGCAGTCCAAGAATGCCAGGTATACGCTGCTGATGACCGACCGATTTTCAAATGTGGATCAACGGTCCTGCATCGAGATGCATCTACGGATTGTGATTGTTGTTCCGTGTGGGAAGGATCCCATTCGCACGGATCTGTCAGCAGGGCGCCCTGGCGTAACAGCGAAAGAACTCAAGACCAGGTTCGTATCGGACGCTCGTAACGAGACCTCGGGCAGGTCGTGTATACCGGTTGTCACAAATATCTTCCGATTGGCATGACGTCTTTGTGGCGTGGTTTAAGCCCGTGGGATTCCCTAAATCGAACCATGCCGCATTGCGATCGGTCTTCCTACGGAACTTCAGATGCCATCTCAGGGTCCGCGCGGCTATCATGGCTTGATGCTGAACCCTGGATGTGGAGATCTCCAGTCGTTACTCGTTGCTACTGGTGGACTAACACCAGACGCAGGCTGAGGTGATTCATCTGCATATGCGTGGAAGATATGCGCAAGATCGTTTTGCTGCATTAGAATGCGTGCCCTTTCCAAACCTCGTCGAACCAGAGGCAGATGCGTCCATGGCCGCAGTAATTCATATCCATTGCGTATATGCTGCTCCTGCTTGGTTTCTTCGATGAAAGAGAGAGCCGTATGGTTGTACGCTATGAGTAAGGTTGCGAAGCACGCAAATGTCCTAGATAGATTTAGTTAGAGATCAACATGGTTGAACGCAATGATCATACGGGTATAGTGTAAAGTGCGTTCCCATCTTTCTTCCCATGAGTTGCTCGTCTGCTACACTTAGAAGCAAGGCTGAACTCTTTATGCAGTGTCGCGCATGCTCCCTTGTGACTACAATCGTTTCGTTTTCCTGAGCACTGGCCTCCCCTTCGCTGTTCTCGAGTATCCTAAGTACTGAAGGCCAGCCAAGCACTACGTGTAGAGCCATGTACTGAATCCTTAGGAAAGACTTCCTAGAGTCAAACAGCGGCGTCGAATCCAAGGGAAACCGAACGGCAGAAGGTAGATGATGGTACCATTCGCGCACTTGTTTACGTAGCTCGCCAACGACGACCGGGGCGAAGATGACCTGTCCTGTAACTGGAAGGGGCGGTCGCATGGTAAGTGCACGTAGCAAAATTGACTCTGCAGAGACACTTACAGTAACCGACAACTTCAAGAGTCTGTGTCAAGAACTTCCTAAGGCTGATCTGCGCCAGAAAGAAGTAGAAGCCTGAATCCTCCTCTTCGAACTGGGGAAGTGGCACCAATTCATGGAAATGGCGTAGTCCGATGGGATGCATTTTACATGTCGCCTCAAGTCTAAGCACATATTTACGTTAGTAAAGTCTTTCGCTATCGAGGCTAACGATGCAAGCCGCGCTTGGATAGCTTACTCGTGCAGCACGGTGGAGCAAGCCCAAAACGCTCGGTTGAATGCTTCTTGGTCCGATGGGCTGTAGCGTTGCATAGTTCTGGAGCTCAAGATATGCATGCAGTCTCTCGCAGCCTGCGTGATGGAGTTCCATGTCTGCAGTGGTCTGATAGCGAACTTGAAGTATGAAGCTTGCAGTATCCGACACTGAAGGCTACCTAGTCCGATGCGAAGCGATAGGTGTTCGAGGAGGCGACAGCCACGTGCAAAGTACTCCAGCCCTGGAGTGAGATTATTCGGATTATCATTCCTATCTTCAGAGATTGCACCAAGGGCTAGTATCAGGAATGCTAGGCATGTTGATGCACTAGGGTGCTCAAAGCTACTTGAGTCTGCCTGTTCAAGCGCACTGACGCAGGTTCGTTGATCGAAAATAGGTGTCCATCGAAGGAAGTTTTCCACAAAAGATTGTTGGAGTCGTCGGCACGTTCGTCGGGATAGATCCACTGGACGTGAGATGACTGCGTCACACTGATCCGCTAGTTGTTCACCGGCTAAGATCTGCCAAGCTGTTAGCACGAATAGTAAGATGTCTCAGCACCGCGTTGGCAAAGTATAGCAAGGGAGCTACATACTAGTAATAAGTTAACATGATATCTTAAGAGCTATGTGTGGCGGCTACTTTACCCTCATCATCGTAAAAGTCAGCTGTGTAGTCCCAGCTCTCCACATGGATGTAAGAAGGTGCGTGAAAAGTAGTGAGGCTAGGCCTCGGAGTTTTTCCTTCGGTGCTTGTCTGTCGATAAGCAAAGTCATACGATACTGGTGTACCAACTGATGGAACAGACATGGTGGAGTTGTTGATCGTTTCAATTGCCATTCGATTGGCGCTCGAGTGTCGTGATCTGGACTCTGGAGGAGGGTGCATATCGCTATGAGTAGACGTGTTGGGTGAGAGTGCTGCAGAACCAGGCGCATATTGATTCGTAGATTCTAGCTTGGCTTCAACCTGTGCCAGTCGTCTTTCAATGCTTGACCAGGCCTCTGACGGGGGGCCGACTGGTTTTGTGCGGTCGCCGACTGTTGGCTTTCGGTAGGTGCACTCAATTCCGAGCTCAGTACAGAAACCACAAGACTGCAAATGTCAACAAGGGCATATACAAATGCAATTTTGTCTGACGAACCGGCTTCTGGGCGTCACAGCGTGTCTTCCGAAATCTACAAACGTTGCACTACGAGCTATGAGTAATTAATGTCGGAAGTCAGGGGTAGTGTTGCCCACAGCTATCGCTATACGTTTTCTGGGGTAGTTCTCGACGACTGTCAGGCTGCCCGCTGGGCTGGTAGACGGGCAGCCCTCATCAAGTGGAAGTCGTGATTGGTCAGATCCGGGAGATTCGCCATGCTTCCGCTTTTCGGCCATGACAGCAGTCGATGATCGGAGATTGATGTAGGCAGCGAGCAAACTGCATGGTGCGGGTGGGTCGCGCTTTCATAGGAATTGGTCGTCTGGAGTGGATGATTCGGCTGGCGGGTGCCGTCCCGTGTGGAGACCCCGCATCCTTGTGTCGCCTGCTGGTTTGAGCAAGTAACCTGCATGCGACTTATCCTACGCAGATGACAGGCCAAGGTCGAGATATGTGCCAGGTGGTTATTACACGATAATGTACATAGTTGTAATCTCATACGGCAGCCCGTGCCATGGTTTCTTTAGCCTCCTTCTCTTTCTTGCGCGCTTCACGTTCCGCCTTGCGCATAGCTCGCAGATCCGGTGGCTTCTCAATGCTGAATCTAGCTCTTAGCTCGTCGATATCCGTCTCCAGCTCTTCCTCCCAGTAGATGTTGATTACATCGTCACTTTGTGCGCCGTTGCGTGTAGCCCACGGCCCATAGACGTCCCAGAAACGTCTCCATTCAGCCTTCTTCAGGGTGAAAGCGCTAAACACAGCCAAGCCAGTCATAGGCAGGCCGGTATTGGCGAACTCGAATGCCTTGAGAGCGACCTCGCCTTCACGGAAGACGGGTAGTCCAACCAAGGCATGGTAGAAGTCGTGGCATTCACGATACCGCTGCATGACATATGCACACTCCTCGTCGTCTATGTACTGTACTGGCGCTCGTGTGTCTGGTGAGACGCCCTCGCGGTCAAGCCATGCCGCGTATGCATAGCCCAATGTGTTCGGAGGGAGTTTGCGGAGGCGTGGAATGTCGAGCGAGGTAGACGTCAAGCGTGGTCGGTCGCGTAGTATTCGTCGGCCCGTTGGATTGAGGAGCATGCGATCGCGAAGCTTGTAGATGAAGTAGGGTTGCGCGGTGGCTTCGCCAAAGGATGCAATGAGGTCTGGCTTGTGTAAGCAGCGAACCATGACATTGAAACTCTGGATCGTGACTACCTCCTCTTCGCGGGTCCAGGAAACTTCCGAGACCCGAGCCGATTGCCAGCCCTAACCTTTCCGTACGCGTCAATGGTATGTGA